GATGGAGGATTAGGGATGATGGGATGATCAAGTTCGGGTTCAAAGACTTTTCCTCTTTCATGGACCTCACCTTTCGCTTTCGCTCTCTGTAATCACTAAAATCGTCTAAGATTCGGATGGAAAGCTGCTCTCGCCGGGTAAAGGCCGAGGTACTATTGTAGATACCTAGGGGCACAATTCAAGGTTGTACTGTACGTCCCCAAACGGCCGGGATTGGCCTAAACTGTCTTGCCGTCAACTTCTACAAAGAAAAGACTGGCATATCTGCGGAAGTCGTAGGTACAGTGTACAATGGGAGAATCACATATTGGCACGGTACCTGTCTTTCAAATAGACTCATCTAATATTCCGTACCCTGCTACTAATTCTTGCGAGTTACGGAATATTCTTGCTAGTCTTCTAAAACTTCAGCCCGACTCCCCCTGCCCTGGTCCCTTTATCTTGCCCTTGTACAGTACATGTCTACCCACGTAGTATGTATTGGGTCCCGCACTCAGGTCCACCTTACATACATATAGGTAGTACAATAGCAAAGCGCGGGCAGCGGAGAGATGCTACTCATGCTGCCCCACCAAAGGCAAGATCTTGTCATATAATCTCATCATTGATTTCTTTTTGCTGGGGTTTCTAGGCCATGTTTCGAGCCTTTCAACCATCCTGACTTGCCTAAACCTGAGCCTCACGGCCTAACCATTTCTATTTCTACTGTTTTTTTTTTCACCTTGGTTTGGGGCTCCTTGGATTGCCATGACAACCCCGATCGACATTGACGGCCACCGTTCGCTGGAACAGCCGCAAGGTATGTCTTTCCGTATCCTCCCTTTGTTTGGCGCGCCGTACTCGTCCCCCATTCCCATGTCTTCCACTGCTTTTTCGGGATTGTACTTCTTTGATCCAAATGGCTGACTGCGTCTGTTTTCAATGCTCTAGGCAGCACCAACGACGCACCCGAACCTACCGATGGCTCTGTCATGCCTCAAGAACGTGCGACGGGCGTTCGCTTTTCATCAGTAGTCGACGAGATCGATCCCCCTGCTGCGTCATTTGGTAGTCCGGAAAGCCGGAAAGACAGCGTCGCTAGTCCTGACGCACTACGGGCCCTCACCAATTCACTTCAAGGCGCCCAACTTCAAGAACAGCGCTTGAAGAATTATTCGTTTGATCCTGTTTCGCTTCCGCCTTCAAGGGTATGCCACCTTCTTTCCAACTTTAGTCGTCTGCGATCCCCCTACTCCCCGCTTTGTTGGTTATAAGAAGCGTGCCCGGGAAATTATCTTAGTCGGATCCCGTTGCTGCACCCCAATTTCTCTCCTTGGATCAAGCGAAGAGCAGTAGCTCTTCAGGTGAACAATAGTCTTGATCCGTGGCAACGATACATGGCGTCGAATCTATTCAGGTCCACATATAGCTAACGGTAGATCAACTAGGTTGTGTCGAACGAGACCACGCCTGGTGCAACTCCGCAGCAAAGCAACAGCCCTATGAGCCATCCATCGCCGCGGTTGAGCCCTAAGGCACCGGAGTTGGCATCGCCGCCATTGACGCCCGCCGGAACATCTGCAGCAGACTCATCATATAGGAGCGCAAAATCCGTTCGAATCTCGGGAGCTGATGGAGGATTTGACTCTCAGGCTATAACCCCGCAAGCCTCTGGCCAGGACTCGAGACCTGTCTCCCCACGAATGGGTTTGCCGCATCGGCCGGCTTCCACTGACAATATATCGCAACGGTCTACCGCAGTGTACGAGCACGATGGTGGGGCTCATTCGCACCGAAAGGGCATGTTCAGCATAGGATCAGGCGGCCGATCGGTACCTGTTTCTAGGGAATCCAGTCCATCCAGGAACGCCGCCTCTCAATATTACTCTCGGCCTTTCACCCCCCAAGGAGATATCAACGATCCTTATGCTGCAAGCAAACGGCCGACGCAGAACAAAGCCAGTGGCCCCATTGATCAGAGGTTTGTCTTCTCCAGGAAGAAGAAGACTACTTCCCCGTCATCATCCTCAACGAACGTGTCAAAAACCGATAAGCAGGAGAAGAGAGCATCTGGGCTTTTCGCGCAAAGGCACAGGTCTAGTGACTTGCACCCAACCGGAACCCGGTCGACAACCCACAGCACTCACGGATCCATGTCTGATCTGAAGAGGTTTTTTAAGGTCGGAGTCAGCCACAAGCCAAAAAAGTCGATAACGCCATCACCTTTAGGTTCAAAACAATCCCATAAGGTTCCGTTCGCAGATGACCATGGCCTTTCATCCAAGTACGGAAAACTCGGCCGAGTACTCGGCTCGGGAGCTGGCGGCTCAGTGAAACTCATGAAGCGAAACGAGGACAACACTGTCTTTGCCGTGAAAGAGTTTCGCCCTCGCCACTCGTACGAAACCGAGAAGGAGTACGTTAAGAAGTTGACAGCCGAGTTCTGTATCGGGTCTGCCTTGCATCACGGTAACATTATCGAAACGCTAGACATCGTCCAAGAGAAAGGGAAATGGTACGAAGTGATGGAATACGCTCCTTTTGATCTATTCGCGATAGTAATGACGGGAAAGATGTCAAAGGCCGAGATCACTTGCTGTTTCCTCCAAATACTGAGTGGGGTGACATATCTCCACAGTTCCGGACTTGCGCATCGGGATCTCAAATTGGACAACGTCGTTGTCAGTCGGCATGGTATTATGAAGATCATAGATTTCGGTAGCGCGCACGTCTTCAGGTATCCCTTCGAGTCGGAGGTTGTACCTGCTTCTGGTAAGTCGGATGTGAAAACGGAAGAGGAATGATATATCTAACAAGCTCTTAGGCGTCGTTGGATCCGATCCCTATCTCGCCCCGGAGGTCTATGATGAGCGAAAGTATGACCCGCAGGCGGTAGATATCTGGTCCCTTGCAATCATCTTTTGTTGCATGTCGCTTCGGCGGTTTCCCTGGAAGGTTCCCCGCGTGTCAGATAATTCCTACAAGCTTTTTGCTGCAGAACCAAGTCCCGGGCATGACCCCACGAAGCTAGTCCTTCCTTCGAGGTCTACTAATGATTTGACGAACATTCCGCAGCGCGACATGTTCGCGGAAGAGGCAGCAAAGCAGCAAAGGCCTAAGAGTACAGACTCGCTTGCTGCGGGAGGGCACGACGCCAACGCCCTTGAGAGGAAAGAAGTCGTTCGAGGGCCGTGGCGTCTGTTGCGGCTACTTCCTAGAGAGAGTAGGCATATCATCGGTAGAATGCTGACAATCGACCCGAAAAAGCGCGTACAGATGGCGGAAATCCTCGAGGAGCCTTGGGTGTCAGACACAATCATCTGCAGGCAGATTGGCCATGGAGAGGTGATCAAAGCGGAAGATCACACGCACGTGCTTGAGCCTCCGGCACCAGTGAATACTAATAAATAGAGGCAGAAAAGTCCAGGGTTGCAGGTTGCAGGTTGCAGGTTGCAAGATGTATCTGGACACGAGAGGAAAGGAACAGTCATCCTCAGGGCGTTGGTAGAGTTGCACATTCCCAGGTCATTTTCACGGGGCACAGCGGTAACGGAGCAGACCGTACAGGTTTTTCATGGCTATAGACTTAGACTATAGGATATTGTGCATAGAAGGTTTTAGGGTGGTCTACCTAGTTATTCGCGCCAACTGCCTCGGGCAGTTAGCGATTGTTTATTAATGCGATGTACTTATATTCTTCTTCTCTCTGGTTCATGCAATCTATCTGTCTGTATAATCCTCTAATTACCCACCCAGTCGTACCTTGCGATATTGAAGAGCGTCTGCCCAGATGGCTGACCAATGCCCTGGGTAGTCGAGGGTCCACTATTCCGGCAATCCGGGCGGGTCTACTCGGAAAAACCTGGGAATAAAAATCCAACAGCCACTTGAACCTTCTAAAGCTTTCTAAAGACCCATCACTTTGCGATAGCTTCAAATTTATACAACCGAGCCTCCAATTCCTTCCAGTTCGCCCACAAGTCACCTACCGACCAGGAATCGCCAATTATCCTTGTATATACTTCGCAATGGTAAGCATAATACCACCTGTTTCTTTGAACAAGCTTGGTTTTTATGGATAGCTTATCGACTTGAGCTCTGAATTTCCCCCAAATGTTTCTAGCAAGAAAAACAAGGGAAAAAGAAGTTTTACTAGACTAACCTACGACTTCAGGCCACCGCTATCCGATCCATCAAATCCCTCGTCCCCCTTCTGGACCGTGTGCTGGTCCAGCGGATCAAGGCCGAGACCAAGACCGCCAGCGGTATCTTCCTGCCCGAGTCGAGCGTGAAGGAACTCAACGAGGGCCGAGTTCTAGCCGTCGGACCCGGCGCGCTGAACAAGGACGGACAGCGTGTAGCTATGGGCGTCCAGACGGGAGACCGCGTATTGATCCCTCAGTATGGAGGCTCTCCCGTCAAGGTCGGTGAGGAGGAGTTCCACCTCTTCCGCGATAGCGAGTAAGTCGTAGCCCCGCTCAATCATACCTACTACAGTATACTTACACTTCGTGCTTCTGTAGAATCCTAGCCAAGATCAACGAGTAAAATGACAGATATACCCCACGATTCATGACCATACCGGTGTACCATATAATGTACAACAAAAACAAGAAGGCATATAAAAAGAAGGGAGCTCGGGTCAAACTTTGCATAGCGCCAATGTAGTTTTTGACGGCTGGGATGGGGGGAAAGGGACGTCTTTAGCTGAACCGTAAGAGGCAAATCTCTACGGATCTTCTTAGGGCTCACAATGAATGCAACGAATCTCCACTCTTCCCTCCAAAATCCAATCATGAGATATCTGACTAGCTAGCAAGTACTACGGATCCCTCAGAGATCATTTGACATGAAATGTATGTGATCAACGGTTGTAGGTGGCAGTAATGGCATGATTCAATACCAACCAAACAGGTGGTGCGTACATAGAAGACTGACTCCTCGCCAACCTCTTTTTCTAAGTATTCAAGGATGACGCAGCAACAATTTAGAGAAATGGGGATACAAGGAAAAAAATCTTACTCCGATACAGGGAATCGAACCCCGAGCTTCTCGGTGAGACCGAGTTGTGTTGGCCATTACACTATATCGTCCTTGTTGTTTGATGAGGCGTCCAATTAACATCTTGTTCATTAGACATGCTGATATAGGTAGTCTACTTGACTATTGGGTATCTCAAATAAGCACGCTAAGGAAATATAGCCGCAAACATTTCAAAGTTATCAATGTCGCGAAATACCTATGCTGCCTTGAAGTAGAATCGAAAGCATGGGTGACTACTTCTAAAACTGATGAAGCCCCTGCCACATTAGCGGCTCAGTCATCGGGGAATATCATCATGACAGTTTCAACTCTACCCCCATCCCCTTTCCCCATGCTGTAGGAATCTTATTAAGCTTCTAGTACTAGGTAGAGCTGTGGTTGTCAAATGAACCAACCAGGTGGCGACTGTTTTAGCTGAGGAGGAGATGGTGCGGACTCAACCGCAATGCAACCTATGCGCCTCAGCCGGTCCAACTTCCAAAAATAGGGGCTCGAGAGTAGGTCGTGGCTAGTCCTTCTATAATCCGTAGTTTTTTTGTTTCTTTTTTTCCTTTCCCGCCATTCGCTATGGCGTGAGGTCGGAATTAAGTAGGTTAGTTGGCGTTTCAACTCCAACGGCCACAGCACGGCCGATTGGTCCACGAGGACGATTGGCGTTCTGCAGCTACCCGCCTCCCTGTCCCTGACAGCAGACCTCAGCGCTATGGCCGGGGTTGCTTTTGAGCCGCTTCCCCCAGATCTACCTCTCCGAATCGTCAACTTCACGTGTTACCGTTGCACTTAGGTAATCTGCGGCTAGAGAAGCAGGGCAGGCCAATATTTTCTTTTTTACCCCCTGAGGAGGATTTCTCGTGAGGCTTCAGATAGATTACCTTGCCAAGACCTTGCAAACGCGCCAGCCGGGACCTTTGCTGTTTGATTCGGTGAATATGTCGCGCTACCTTCGGGCCTCAAAGCTATTGGGGGCAGGTGAGCTTCAGAGATGTGGCTGAACAAACGAAATGGACATTTATCTTCGAATTAAGACCCCTGAAAGAATCGATGTCTTCTGCATGGGCCTCGAGGTTACACAGCACATATCCACCCTTTCAATGTAGCCGTTCCTTTTTGTCCGGGTCTATTCTATTTTATAAGGCGAAGGGCCTTGCCATCCTAGCTTTTGGTTTGTCGTCGCATTATCGACACTTGTTTATTGCCATTTATCAACCTTCCCTTCTGTCACTTATGACTATGTCTTTTTGATACACTCATTACTTTGCCCAACTACTCTTGAAGCCCTAGTGGCATTTCGTTCACTCATTCACCTAGCTAGGCTAAACACCTATTCTCCCAAAAACCTTTTACTGCGTGATAGCTGCCACAGGAACCAGCCGCTCGGTATCACACTCTTTTATATTATCAACTACCTTGTCTTAGAGCCACCGTTTGAGATGAAAGGATTTACTTCATTTTTCGTGGCGGTAGCCTCCACTAGTACGATAGTGGGTGCCCACACTGTTTTTACTACTCTATTCGTCAATGATGTTTCTCAAGGCGACGGGACCTGCGTCCGGATGAATATGGACCCGCAAGAATGTACTAACCCGCTGGAGGATGTAGTCAGTGATGATATGGCTTGCGGTAGGCGACTAGATTACTGGCCACTGGTCACAACATTCGAGCTGACTCTTGCCCAGGGGTGAGTGGCGCCCAGCCCGTCGCATTCACCTGTCCTGCTCCGGCCGGCGGGAAACTTTCCTTCGAGTGGCGGCTGTGGGCCGATGCCGAACAGCCTGGCGCCTTGGATATCTCGCATAAGGTACGATGAAATTCGCCTTTCCCAAAGACAGATTCTAACTTTGCGGGCCCAGGGGCCTTGCGCCGTCTATGCGAAGCAGGTGAATGATATGGCATCAGACTCTGCGGCGGGTCTAGCCTGGATTAAGCTTGTAAGAAAACCCCATGGCACTTTACTCATTATTCGATGTTCGCCTTTCATATGGACTCGATCCCTGACTCGATTGGTCCTAGTGGGAGGATGGCTACGATGACGCGGCTGGCAAGTGGTGTACCGAAAAGCTGATCGACAACGATGGCTTGATGTCCATCGACATACCTGAATCTCTCCCCAGCGGGAACTGGCTCTTCCGACCCGAGCTCCTCGCTCTCCACAACGCCGATAAGGGCGACCCGCAGTTCTACACGGGATGCGCGCAGGTCTTCGTCCAGGGTAACAATACCGCGCCCCTCGACGTGCCCGAGGGGTACAGCGTCAGCATCCCGGGCTACGTGAAAGCCGACGACCCGGGCCTGACCTTCAACATCTACAGCCCGACGTTTCCGTACCCGATGCCCGGCCCCAAGGTCTACGAGCCCTCCGATTCGGTCACCGCGGCAGCCACGTCCTCCAAGTCGGCCCTGAAGCAGACCGAAGGCAAGCTCCCGTCCGACTACCTCATCAAGAACGCCAACTGGGTGGGCGTGGAGGTGGCCGGCTACTCGACCGAGGACGGATGTTGGGAGGCGTCGTCGGCATGCTACGGCCAGGCGGCCACGTGCTACGACTCGGCTCCGCCGACGGGCAGCGCAAACTGCCGCGTCTGGGAGCAGAAGTGCGACGGCATCAGCGCGGCTTGCAGCGCCGGCGATTTCAACGGGCCGCCGAATAAAGGCCAGAAACTGGTTAGCGATGACCCGGCGCCGCCGGAGTATATACCGGAGCCCGTGAGCGCTAGGAGTGTAGAGGGCTCCACTAAGAGGCTTCGGAGACGACGGGTTGAGAAGGTGGCTTGGATGTTGCCATGAAGAAGTACCTAACACTGGGTCTACCAATAGGTACTTGATTCTCGGGCAGGACCCGGGAAGTCGGGTATTTTATAAACTTAAATACCTAGCATGGTTAGAAAAACCACATACTAGCCGAGTCAAGAACTATCTCAGATGTGGCTTGCAGCTATATGCAGCATGGTGGCACCGATTCGCCATGTGGTCATGTCACGGGAATTGAGTCAATATTCTTGACATTGTTGTCGCAATGCAACTGGATTCTGAGGTTATGAGGTGGATACGAATGATGCGGCTGTCGGTATACGATGGTGATAGGTGAGCCAATCGAATGAGCTGAGATATCACGATGCATATAGGTTGACGGAGAAAACTATCACAGCTAAAGCGAGTTAACTGTGCTAGTCATGTCTTAACTGTCTAAACATTTGTTTGAGTAAGAGATAATAGCTAGTATTATTGGATACCTACTAGGTACCTACCTAAGGTACGCATGGAGATGTTTGACAAAGACACGGGCGGCAGTCGGAGCCCCTGCTTATTAAAACCCCGAGCCGGTGTTCTCATCCCGCAATCAAATTCGTCATGTCGGTGTTGATAATCATGATGACAAAAAGCAATTAGTTCTAAGCTAAGACGAAATTTTCACGGAGTGCTCACTCACTGACTCACCGACTCACTACCTAAGGTTAGGTACTTTAAGAGTTCGCTTTACCCTTTACCCGAAACTTTCCTCCTCGTAGGAAGATACATCCAAGCTAGCTGCACGGCAATTGGTATTCCCTGCCATTTTATTTTTCTACTTAAACTATAAAGTACCTAACCTAGCTTCAGGGGTCTTTTCATAAATAGACACGGGCTAGTTTAGCATCATCCACTCTGACTTGACACAATCTAGCTTCCAGCACCAAGGGTTGATGTAACGGGAAATAAATCATTGCAACTTGCAACTCCAAAGAGCATTGTGTGGCTGGACTCAAACATTTCTAGAAGACATCATTAATAGACGGAGTGTTCTCATTTCCAAAAACATTCATTGGTCGAGTACCTTCCAATCAGAATCATGACGGTCCCAATCGACTCGACCGAGTCCAACCCCTCCCCCGCACACGGGTTCGGCACCCTAGCCGTGCACGCCGGCTCTCCCCACGATCCCTCCACCGGCGCCGTCATCGAGCCCATCTCGCTGTCGACAACCTACGAGCAGACCGCCGTTGGCCAGCCTATCGGCGCCTACGAGTACTCGCGCAGCTCCAATCCCAACCGCGATAACTTCGAGAAGGCCGTCGCCGCCCTGGAGAATGCAAAGTACGCACTCGCCTTCGGCAGCGGCAGCGCCGCCACCGCCACCATCCTCCAGAGCCTGGCCCAGGGCTCGCACGTCATCAGCGTGAGCGACGTCTACGGCGGCACCCACCGCTACTTCACGCGCGTGGCCAAGGCCCACGGCGTCACGGTGACCTTCACGCCCCAGATCGAGGTCGACATCGCCGAGCACATCCGCGACAACACCAAGCTCGTGTGGATCGAGTCGCCCAGCAACCCCACCCTGCGGCTCGTCGACATCCGGTCCGTGGCCGAGGCGGCCCACGCGCGGGGCGTCGCCGTCGTCGTCGACAACACCTTCCTCAGCCCGTACATCCAGAACCCGCTCGAGCACGGCGCCGACGTCGTCGTCCACAGCGTCACCAAGTACATCAACGGCCACAGCGACGTGGTCATGGGCCTGGCCGCCTTCAACTCGGACGAGCTGCGCGAGCGCCTCGCCTTCCTGCAGAACGCGTGCGGCGCCGTGCCCTCGGCCTTCGACTGCTGGCTGGCCCACCGCGGCGTCAAGACCCTGCACCTGCGCGCGAAGCAGTCGAGCGCCAACGCGACGGCCGTCGCCGAGGCCCTCGAGGCAAGCCCGCACGTCATCGCCGTCAACTACCCCGGCCTCATCTCTCATCCTCACCGACACATCGCGCTGCGGCAGCACCGCGACGGCATGGGCGGCGGTATGCTGTCGTTCCGGATCAAAGGAGGGCGGGCCGCCGCCGAGCGCTTCTGCCAGCTGACGCGCATCTATACTCTCGCAGAGAGCCTGGGCGGCATCGAGAGCCTGTGCGAGCTGCCGAGCGCCATGACGCACGCCGGCATCCCGCGCGACCAGCGCGAGGCCGTTGGCGTCTTCGATGACCTCGTCCGCTTGAGCAGCGGCATCGAGGAGCCCGAGGACCTGGTGCAGGACATCGAGCAGGCGCTGGAGAGAGCGGTGAAGGAGACGGGGGCGGCGGACTCGACTGCG